AAGGTTTGTGTTACACAGAAAAGCTTTCAGAAGATACGGTAGTATTATAAACCTAGTGAGGAATAGCAAGGTTTGTGTTACACAGAAAAGTTTTCAGAAGATACGGTAGTATTATAAACCTAGTGAGGAATAGCAAGGTTTGTGTTACACAGACACGTTTTGAGAAGATAAGGTAGTATTATAAACCTAATAAGGAATAGCAAGGTTTGTGTTACACAGAAAACAGTTGTTAAAAAAGACGGCAGAACTATCAAATTAATGAGAAATAGCATGGTGTGTGTCAAGGTGAAATGTTTTTAGAAGCCGTACTGGTATTATAAAGTTATTGAAGAATATTTTTATGGTTTGTGCCACAGTCAATTGTTTAAAGAAGTTTTAATCGCTTTTTAAACGTGTTGTATAAGATCGAATTGTTACTACTGGAAGTAATATTTTTTCCCTAAATAACTTACCGATATGCTAGTCGAAAAACAAAAAGTTCAAGACTAGCTGACTGAGACAGAAGTTGCTGATCGTCCCTGTTTAACTCCCTAAAACCTGGAATCTTCTTCCCAAAGGTGCGAATAATCTCCAAGGATGACGTCATCACATTAATGAACTGCCGAATTTGTTCAGTTTCTGTGAGTCGGTTTTCACCAGCTGAGGGTTCTCTACACTAATATTAGAAAAAATATTTTAACACGTCCCCCAGAAGCCAAGGGGTGTCTTTACACTACAATTTGTTGAAAATTAAAAGTAAGTTCAATCCGGAAACTCCCAGAGAGGGTGGTTTTGGACGTATCTTTTCGAGACAACTTAGAGACAAGTTTTAGTTTGTTAATGGATAAATTTTTTAAGTGAAATACAGCACCCTCAATTCTCCATACCAGCTAGTATTAAGGTCTATCTGCTGGGAGTAAATTCAGTATATATCAATAAAGCCACATTCTCAGCATCATTAATTAAGGAATTGTCAACCTTTTAAGCTTCTGCTATCACCTTTATATGTTTAGCTTTCAAATGAGATACGAACGATTTCACCTGCGATTCGGTAGGGAAGGTCGAAGCATCACGATAGTCAGCAGAAGGATGAGTAAACAAGAACACATTGAAAGCAGCTATAGGTATAATATTGTACTCGGGTTGCTGCACAGTATCTACCAAGGTGATTCTAAACGGTTCCTAGATACCACTTCGTGTCATTTGGAGACTTCCATGCTTCTTGTGATTGGCCGTTAAGCTCGTGATGCACTGACGGATTTCAGTTACCTTACTACTTCAAATCACTAAAAGAGTGCGGGAAATGCTTTCTTTTTAGCCCAAAAATGTCCACAAATTTCAGTTCAAATTAAGAAAAACCGGATTGGGTGGTTTTTTTTTTAACAAAAATGTCCCCCACTGGCTAGTGAGGGGGTATGTTAAAATTACTACTTTATATTATACATACATGTATAATAATATATGATAATTGAACAATTGTTATGATGGTGGGTGACAAGAAGAAGAGGAACGGGTGGCAACAGTTTAAACCTTTGGCACCGATCGAAGCGTGACTAATTGTTATCGTGCTGGCAGTGTAAATCTAAAGGTTCATGGTTCGAGCTCTGTTGCCACGAAAATGTGCTCCGCACTTTGGGGCCGTGGCTGTTTTCAGTCTAAACTATCAGTTCAAAAATGGGGAGGGGGCAGACAACCCTTGTGTAGCTTTGGGCGTAAGTCTAATAAACAAATCTTTGGCTCGAATGGTATGACAAGGATAACTCGTTAAACAGTTATTTCTGTATGTTTGTGCTTTTGTTTTAATGCAGTTTTTGAATGTATTTTCAATGATGTTCTGAAATAATTTATATTTCGAGGGCTTTCGAAATATTAATATTAGAACTGTATAATTAAAACCAAGTGCTCTCAAATACTGTGACAATTGAAAAACAAATATGTCATTGTGAAATACAGTTCCTTGAGTGATAATTCTATCAGCGATTCTTTAGGTAAACTTATCCTCAGATTTAATGCATATAAATAAACGGGTACTGAAATTAGTGTTGTAGTCAGGAAAATATTTCGGGGGAGGTAACTCACCCCCCGACTCATTGTATGATAGAGTAATATATACACACACATACCTACAAAATAACACAAGTAATATGTACAACAATTTTTCTTGACGTCTTAAATTTACTTTCCATCTCGATCGACGACTATTTAACTAAAAAAGAGTACTTGTGGTACATAGGCATCTAATACTTCTTCCAGTTTGTGTGTATACGCTACCATTAGCCATTATGTTAGATTAACTTAGCTTTTTTCTACGCTCCCTTCCCCCACGTTACAACAAAGTTAGGCAGTCATGCTCCAGAAGACAATGAAATGTTCAAAGCTAAATTAAGAATACAATAAAATGTTCAAAGCTAAGTTATAATTCTGAATACGTTTTATTCGCGATCATTATTAGGCGCGTAAAGATAAGTAGCAGAATGCTCATTTTTGAACACAGGTATTACGGTTGAGAGAGAGACTACACAAAATCAGGCTTTTCAGTAAGTTAGTTGACTGTTTGTAGTTTTGTTTGGAGAATCACATTTTAATTTTAATTGTAATTATACGGAAATAAGTGTCAAACCTTTTATATTTTACTAATTGTTTTGGCTTAATATGTGTTTGTGTGTGTATATGTGCAAAGTATGCTAGACATACAAGGAAGAGGCCCGGCATGGCCAGGTGGTTAGGGAACTCGACTCGCAAGCTGAGGGTCGCGGGTTCGAATCCCCGTCACACCAAACATGCTCGCCCTTTCAGCAGGGGGCGTTATAATGTGACGGTCAATCCCACTATTCGTTGGTAAAAGAGTAGCCCAAGAGTTGGCGGTGGATGGTGATGACTAGCTGCCTTCACTCTAGTCTTACACTGCTAAATTAGGGACGGCTAGCGCAGATAGCCCTCGTGTAATTTTGCGCTAAATTCAAAAACAAACAAAAAACAAAATACAAGGAAGATAAATATTTTTATCATCTTCTACTATATCTTGTTTTAGCTGGCAATAAAGTTTTAATGTTTTCTTTATAAACCTCGGAATTATTGCACACAATAAACTAGACAGACTCATAAAGGAGCCGATCACGGCCTAATGGTTAACTTACCGGGCTGCGGATTGGAAATCTTAGGGTTCGAGCACGTGACATGCTGCTAACAACACCCCACACTTTCAGTCATGGGCTAGTTATGCCACTTGAATTCAATATTGCTATTAGGTTAAGAATACGCATGTAGGTGGTAAGTGCTACTAACTAATTGCTCTCCCTCTGGTCAGCAATTATAAATTAGGGACGGTTTAGTCTGAGTCTTGGGTCTCTAACCTGTTCGCCGAGAGTTCATACATTCATATGTTGCCTTTATGGTTGAAAATACCGAATACCAGACTCATGATAGCACACTTAGAACCACGAAGCTCTGTCTGCATACGATATTTAAGTATTGTAATCAATATTACTATTTGGCAAAAACAAAACAAAAAACATTTACTTAAGTTCTTTTCAAACATATGCGCAAAAGTACTGTAACTGAACTGTGCAGAAATATAGTTTGATCTTGCAAAGTAGAACATAAGAATAAAAAAAGTAAATAAAAAATGGTTAAGGTTATCAAGAAACTGTCACTCTTGGGCGGAAAAAACTATAAACTTTATGTTTACTCTACTTGTCAAAAGATGTAGCAATATAAACATAAAAGTCTAGAAACCGATGTTTTTACCTGAGAATGGTCAAGGCTAGCAAGATCAGGGGTTGTATCTATATAGGCTCGAACTAATGATGTAATGAAACTGACAGGCGGCGATGATGGGGACTTCTGTTGGATTTTGTGTTTCGATGGTAAACGACCACGGCGCCCTTTCAAGTCGTCTGACCTTACCACTGAAATAGAGACAGTTACAGAGACATAATGGTCACTTGAACACGGTGACATTTTAGATTAAGATTAATTAGGATACAAAATATTTTTATAACATAACTTAGGAATAAATGTGACAATTTGTTTATTTTGGACAAAGCCACAATGAGCTATCTGTTGTGTCCGCCGTGAAGAATCGAACCCTGAATTTTAGCGTTGTAAGTCCGTAAACTTACCACCGTCCCATCAGGGAACAAATGTGACAAAAGCTTACGCAACAATAGCGGATTCTGAAGTTTTAACTGTTTAATTTGTTTCAAGTATATTCTTGGAGTCGTTCGAAATTCTTCTTCAAGTTTTAAGTGCTTCTTACTTCCATGAATTCATTTTTAGTGGTTAGTAGAAGAGGAAAATATTTGGTCGTCAAGACATTAATGTCGCTTTTTTTAGATGAAAAAAACTCGAACAACTTATATATCAAAACAAAACATTTAT